GGGGGGGTGTACTTATAGTCGTGCATGCCGTAGTCGTTAGACCATTGACCTCGCATCCCTACAAAGCCGGGACGGAAAACGCCGTGTTCTCACCGGACCAGGCTCTCACATCACCAAGCGCGAAGCGCCGTGAGGTATTCGGCGAGTCGCATGAAGGGTGCGCTGCATCCTGCTAAGGGTGTTCGGCATCTTGTGCTTACCGTCGACCCCGCTTTAAGGACACACCACGTTTTCCCCCCAAAAAAGTGTCTTTAACGCGGGGAAGTGTCTTTAAAATTCCGGGGCCACTAACGCACCATCCCCGGGGCCAATGAAGGCTAAACATATGTCAACAGGTGCGCATTCGCAGCAGAAAGGCGACCACAAGAGGTGTTGTTTGAAACCTACGACACAAGGTGATTTGAAGGTCGCAACCACTGCTGCTATTGTGCTGCAATACATACATACTTGCATACCATCGTTTGAATTTCCCCGTGCTGTACCACCGATACGCTGAAAGCGATGGTGTTCTACGACCTACGCATCGTACATGTACACGACGTGCGCAGGTGTTGATAAATGGGCTAATTGTTTGCTTTTTTTTTGGGGGGGGGGCGTTGTCCTCCCCGTGAATATCTTGCCCAAGATCTCGCTACCGCTCATATCGAAGGTTGTAAAACGACATTAGGAAAATGTTGGTTACGCAGAAACACAGAGACCAAAAATGTGGGGAAAGTACAGCGACAAAGAAGACACCGCGCTTCCCAAAAGGTCACAACGAGCACTCTCTCTGCTGCCCGTGGCCTTCCTCTCCGATGCCCCGACCACAAAACGCGTGCATGGGTCGNATACTTGCATACCATCGTTTGAATTTCCCCGTGCTGTACCACCGATACGCTGAAAGCGATGGTGTTCTACGACCTACGCATCGTACATGTACACGACGTGCGCAGGTGTTGATAAATGGGCTAATTGTTTGCTTTTTTTTTGGGGGGGGGGCGTTGTCCTCCCCGTGAATATCTTGCCCAAGATCTCGCTACCGCTCATATCGAAGGTTGTAAAACGACATTAGGAAAATGTTGGTTACGCAGAAACACAGAGACCAAAAATGTGGGGAAAGTACAGCGACAAAGAAGACACCGCGCTTCCCAAAAGGTCACAACGAGCACTCTCTCTGCTGCCCGTGGCCTTCCTCTCCGATGCCCCGACCACAAAACGCGTGCATGGGTCGCCCGCACGGATACTTATGAACCAGTTACACCAGTGCAGATTTGAACTGGCACGTCGGTTCGCCGCATGGCTTCAAGCCGGCAGCAGACGAACCGCTAGCAGATGGAATGAATCTTTCCATACCTCCACACGCAGTGTGCGGCTGCAGCAGACCGCTGTTGATGATCCAGGATCTACAGGTGCTGCAGTACATTTTCTGGGGGGGGTCGAACGGTGGAAAACCCTACCCCCCCATACTTGTTCACATCTGCGGGGCACCATGTTTCTAATCTTTTTTGTGTCCTTAAAGCGGGGAGTGTCTTCAACAATGGTGTCTTTCAAGCGGGGACGACTGTACTTCCTCGCGTACGGATGACAGCTGCGTATGACTTAATGTATTTTATGGTGCTTTCACTTCCAGAGACAGTTGTAAGCACTGTGTTACTACCTCGAGGGTGCTTGACCATTTTAACACAACGTGGTGCGATCATCCCCCTTGCACGGAGTGAGAGTTTTCCACCCCGCACAACAACATGATCTACTCGACCACCATTATGGTTACCGCCAAAAAAAAAACAGAGGTAAAAAAAACCCGGTAACCTGGTTGCCGAGTTCACGAAGTGAATTGGCTTGTTTTATGCATACAACGTCATTGCCAAGCGACGAAAACCCAATCCCAATCCCAATGGCAAACACCGAGGGGGGGGTTGTTTTATAACGTCGTTGCCAAGCGACGAAAACCCAACCCCGATGGCAAACACCGGG